ACGGCCCGTCATACTCATAACTATACTCGGTGTCGCCTGCTGAGGCTACTTCTAGTAACTGCCAGACACAGGCACATGCTCCTAGCTGACCGTAGTGACACAACTATACATAATGGACTAATGCAATGACCAAAGGTGCCATCATATCCATACGCCGTTCACTCACCAACACCCCATGCCTGGAAGGTACACAAGCACCTTTAACAAATCATGTTTCTCTTTATCGCTAGCATCGGTACGAACATAATGTGTGGTCAATCCACTTCTCAGTTTTTTTTGCTCGACAGGCCTTCTGAAAAATGTATAATCAATCAAGAGTCGTACATATCTTCCGCGACATTATTTAGAACACAGTTAAACAAAGTTATAGTGGCTACATCACCAAATACATCACAAATAAATCATTGTGTCCAAAATTGCCGGTCCGTGTCGGGGTTGAATCTGGAGACTCGCTGTCATAAAGGTAAACTCGATTCCTGCTCAGTCAATCCAATTAATGAAATAGCGAACAGCCAGCGCAAATAGCCAGCGACCGTCTTTGTTTGTTGTGACTCCGGCCACTCAATCAGCCGCCCAAGGTCACTCATGACCAGCAGTGGTTTTCAATTTTAGCTCATGTCAAACAGCTTCATCTTTGAACGAGTCGGACCTCGTGCATACTGTTCCCTACGACTTGAAAACAAAACTAACATTTTTTCATCGAATATTGCCCACTGTTTATGTCACTGTCCTCTTTTCGTGCAAACCCCACTACCTGCGAATCCCCCAGTCATGCTTCGTTCTGACTGTAAACGTTTGATCATACCGGGCGGCAAGCCACCTGTTAGCGCTATTGCCTTTGACTCGAAGTAATATCCGAAATTGAATAACACTAACAATAAACAGTTATGTACAGTCGTTACCAGTATCACTAGTGCAACTGAACAATACACAAAAGGAATAAAAGACTTATCGAGTTCTTCGTTTGATAAGCTGTATTAAATGCAGCCGAGGTTTTTAGGACGCAGTTGAATTGAATGCGGGTCTTGGCGGAGTGTGTTGAAATCTGGCCTGTTTCTTGAGGTTTAATCCAAAATGATACCGATCCCAGACTTTACCTGCACAGTGAGTCGTGCGTAGGTTTGAATTGACCCTGGTAAAGGCGCTGTGTGAAGTGACGAGTGTCGGCTGGGTCGCATATATATATATATATATATATATATATATATAGAAAGAACTTTACCCGCGCATGCGTTAAACAGATTATCTCAGTGGACGAAGATAAACATTGTTGAGATAATAACCGAACTGTGAAAGCGGTTGAGGATAAACGTTGAAGGGATGGTAAACAACAAATACTCTCCTAGTAAAAATGAATATTAGTTTTCAATTCAATGTAGGGACCGTTAAGCTGGGATGACACCTTCTGGCTAGTGGACGTGTCTGCCGGAACGTGCAATGCGTGTGCTGGTAGTCGGAGCGATTTGGGCTGACGACGAGGTCGGTGTTGATTCCGTTGAGTCGGACTTGTGCCTGGAGTTCGGTAGGTCTGTTACTTTTGAGGGTGAATAAATGCAAGCGGTTTAAGCTGGTTTCAGGCGATCGATATTAACTTCATCAGTTTTATCACGTGACTAAATGGTGAAGTATCTGGGGTATCGACCTATAACAGCGAATGGGCCCTCATAAGGAGGTTATAATGGGTGGTTGACGCGGTCACAGCGGACAAGTGGAGAGATCAGGAGAAACATGGCACGGTTTGTTAGCTATTGGTGGAGGATGAGAACGTAGACGCGACATATGCGTTTTCAGTTGGGTGACGTATGTTAATGGATAACATATATTGCGGATACAATTTCACAACCTGAAGGCTTACGTGGGTCGCATTCCTTCACCCTAAAGACCGGAAATACAAGTTACACGGGTTCCCTTTCAAGCCGAGAATAGAGCTTGGTACGATGGTGTTTGCAGTGACAGGCCAATACCTTCTATGCGAGCCTCACCTCCAGCATGAGGTGACGCCCCTTTTCGGATAAGAGTTTCGTGGTAACGATTCAGTTTGCAAGGAAAAAGGCAGTACACCGCGGTCCCGTTACCGATAACCCTATTCGATTTTTGATTAGGCATTCTATTAGTGGAATGTTTGACAACATAAGATAGAGATCTCCATTATCTGCTTGGCGGCTGGTATGCTGGGCTCTAAAGTTTGGCCGTTTGACGGCCTGGGTTGCTTCACTACTCGGGCTTCTGGGAGTATTAGTGCGGGGGTTTGGCTTGACTAAATGGGTTTGAGTCACTCAACGTGGTTTTGTAACCCATGTTCCCATACTTGTGCTGCTTTTCACGCATCGCTTCCTCGCAAGTATGCTTCGCAACCTGTGATCCTATTCAAACTCCGGTTTAGCAAAGCATGCTGCGCCAGACTACAGTCTGGGCCATATGTCAAAAAAATCTTGCGAAATCTGGTCAAAGTTGCAGGTTCCAGATGCTTTGCGATAAGTTACCTGAAGTTTTCGGCGAGTTTAGCAGCGTTTGTTCACAAATCGTGAACCATAGGTTAAACCTTGTCAGATTTGCTACGAGTTACTAAATGTGAACACCAGGCCATTTACAGGGATGCCCTGGCTTGTGGTGAAATTACTGGGCCCCATCTCCAGTTGTGAAAACAGTCGTTGCCCATGGCCCCGACGGCCAAATCCACAAACCTGAAGACACCGAACCGGAACATTCTTCATGCATCCGATTGGCAACGGAAGAGAAGTCTGCAGTTAAGCAGGCCACAAAATGTATACCAGGTCAGAAATCTGTTGGCTAGCTTTGTGGTCCAGTTCTCTTCGAAAATGATCCCCATGAGAACGCTTAAAAGGAATACTTCTGTGGGCTGCAGCTAAAAGCACAAAGTTTTGCGTTAAAATGCCCAAGTAACCGAACAGACACGTGTTCGCCCTAAATCCGTGAGCAACAGCGAAATTAGTCTTTCAAAACTCGGTGTTGAACAAGCTTCAAGTAGCAGCAGCCGAAATTTTCGCCTACAAAACTGCGTTTTCGAAGGTGAAAAGCCCGCGCAAACCGAACCCAAACGGGGCAAAAAAACTTGCAAGTGAATGGCAGCTTTCGAAGCCACTAGGACAGGAAGCAGAAAGCAGGCCGCAGGTGCTCCTCGGGTGTCTTGGACTCAAACCCAGCAGTACAGTCAATAAATCCGTTAACCTCTCTAGCTGCACAACGCTCGAATCCCCTTCTTCGAAGGCAGCAGAGTCAGTCTTGAAATGCTCGTCCACAAACTGCCCCAGACTTTTGAACAATGTTTACGATATTAAACAGTCAGCTTGCGTTGAGCATCTGTCCATAATCGCACTTACGGAAACTTGATTCATGCAATATGTCTCTGACGCGGAGATCTCGGTAGACGATCATTCCGTTTTTGTAGCTGACTCAGAATGAGGGAGGGCTCGTGGGTTTACTTTCTACCGACACACGGCCCTGCCCATCCAGACTGTCCTCTCTGATACCGCACCTCCATCTTTTTGCGATTGTCTCTGACCGGAGATCTCGGTAGACGATCATTCCGTTTTTGTAGCTGACTCAGAATGAGGGAGGGCTCGTGGGTTTACTTTCTACCGACACACGGCCCTGCCCATCCAGACTGTCCTCTCTGATACCGCACCTCCATCTTTTTGCGATGCACCGTGGATCCAAGTCCCGCTGCCCGGGTCCGAAACTATTCTTTTCGGTGTGACTTACCGTTACCCTACTGAGTCCTCCGGGAGATGATTCATTTCTCATACGAACCCTTGAGCAACTAACCTCCAGATGCCACTTTACACACCTCTTGCTGGTGAGTAATTTTACCCCCCCGCCAAGACCTCGTGGATGGAGCATCAAAGCGTCATTCTGCAGTGGTGCTGACCAAGGTCGTTCAGCAGAGCACTTGGACACACCATGTCGTTGCGCCCACTAGATACAGCGCAGGGCAACAACCATTCTTCTTGGATCTTTCCGCCGATCAGGTTTTAATTTACACCCCACTGGGACATGGTGACCAATGCGCCTATCTGCTACTGGGCCAGAAATCCCGGACTCAAACATGGATTTGAATCCTATGCATGCAGGCTTCTCAAGAATGCGCACCTTTCTTGGTAAGTGTAAGCCGGGACCAGCTTCATTGGAAGAGTTATACAGGATCATTTTCGGATCATCGCGAGGCTGACGCCATGTTCATCAGGACGAAACAGCACGCACCTGGACAGACCGCGAGATACCTAAAAGAATTAGGCCTTTTCTGTAAAATACGTCTCAAATAGTTCTCAAATGGTTCACTACAGGAGACACGAAAGACCAGCTGGCGTTCCGTGAAAGGCGGATCAACTGTAAATCATCAATCCGCCGATACAACAAACGGAAACAAGCCACCATTCTAAACCTTCACCGAAATAAAAACAAAAATGAGCTGTTTAAGCATATGAGGCGTCGCCGCAGAAATAAGCCATCCCCGTTCTCCTTGAGGGACAGGAATGGGGAACCCATGAGTGACCAAATAGCGGTATCTGAAGTCTACAGAGAAAACTACAGGCCTGCATTCTGTCTTAGCGACCTCGTCACATCCATACTTGTCAAGGCGGAATTCCTGAAGTCCTCTAACTAATTTGGTCTTCACGGAGTAGGACATCCATCAACTCTTGCACAACACGAACCCGTTCAGCGCTTTGGGACCAGATGAGGTTAATTCAAGGATCCTGAAGGAAGGATCCTGGCGAAGCATCTCCAAATTGTTTCCTCAGTTGCTTGACGAAGGAACCTTTCGCTCTGCTCGGAAATAAAATTCTGAAGCTCAGAGCACACACTTTAATCAGGCAATTTTTTTTATCATTTTGGGTAGGTTGTCCACGCTCCATCTAGTACCAAGTTCAAAGCATAATTAAGTGCCTTTTAATCTATCCGTCGTACTGTCGAGTATACTGCGTCACGCTGAAAATTCGAAGAGCAGTGCTACACCATTTTTTCGCCTGTGCCTTTCAGGCGAACGACAGCCGCTGAACGACAAGAACATAATTGAGATACTTGGGCGAAGGCCTGTGTATCAATCCGTGAAGCAAGGTCACAGCTGTGATGACAAACCAATCACCGGACTGAGTTTCCTGCCATCCACCGCCCGAGAGATTAGAGTCCATTGCTTACTTGCGGCAACGATGAAGTCCACGCGGCCAGTGTTTTCCGTTGTGAAGGCGGTAATCCTAGGCCCTCCAGGTTCTGGAAAGGGTACTATTTCAAAGAGGATAACGAAGGACTTTCCTTTGGACTGCATTAGCTCCGGTGATCTCCTTCGGGCACATGTGGCTGATAATTCCAGTATGTCAGCCAGGATCCTCTCTGGTTCAACTTACTTTCAGTGATTGGTGTTGCGGCCTCAAAGTATATGTCAAAAGGACAACTTGTGCCTGACGACTTGGTCACAAAAATGATGCTTCAAGAGTGCGCTAGATATCGCGACTCAAACCTGTTGCTCGATGGTTTCCCCAGGACGGTTGAACAGGCAAAGGCATTAGACAAAGAGACTACAATTAATTGTGTGATTAACCTCGATGTCCCGTTCGATGAGATTATCAACCGTGTAAAATGTCGATGGGTTCATCTCCCTAGTGGTAGAATTTATAACACTGAATTCAACCCACCCAAAATTCCGGTGAGTTAATCTAGATTTCACGAGTTCGTCTTCGTTGTTTTGTCAATCCGTGCTTCACTAGGAAGACTCGTTGTATCCTTTTGTCACCGGGTGCAGCTTAGTCTGTTCGCCACTGGGGTTCGAGTATGTGCGCCCCAGGTGCTCATGCAACTGTCCATTTTGGTGCATTGATCTGGGTAACCCGTATACCTATCATTAGTACCCTTTTAGGATGAAGATTTCGTTTGATAAGTATGTCATACAGACCATCCGGATGGATTGTGTATAAGTGCATTGGGTTCACGAATCCCTTACAAACTGGTTGGATGCTTGCATGGAAAAATAATTTCACGTGCTCTCTCGTCGTTCTGCTCCACCAGATTCGAACTTCCTTTTTACGTTGTCTACTTCGCTATGCTAGTCCTTTCTTTCTTGTTGGTCTTCTAAGTACATCTCAAAAGTATGGTGCATGACCAACCTGGTCAGCTCATCACTTAGAGACCTAACCTTATCGTTGTGAAACTTTCTATGTCATTCAGTCCCATCTGGCGTTATTTGGGGTTGCGTTAACACAGAGCCTCGTCGGGCTATCCTATCTTGGCTTCTGCATCCTGGTAATATCCAAAGCATGTAAACCCATGAGCTTTACCTGACTTTATTCCACGTCAACGATAGCCTTTTGCCATAAGCCAGATCACATTATCCTGCGTACGATGGTGGAGAAGTTACTGCTTACGCTTCATACATCAGCATGTTCCTTCCACCTCTCTCCCTGTATTCACATGACCGTATTCTTTAGTCCAACAACTGTTATAGTGACTGTTCTTCGAGGAAGTCAAGAGCCTAGAGATCTCTAGGCTTTGGTAACCTGGCAGTATCCCAGCCCCCGTGCCTTCTTCGTGTGGCATGGAAGCTAGGCACCGAAAGGGTGCTACAGATGACCGATTTTTTCACCATTCATCCACTTTGACAGAAGTTACTCTACATTGGCGCAAACTATCGTACGCAACTATCGAAACAAACTCCCATTGCAATTGCGCCAGATGGTGCCCGTCTAGTAGCTCAGAAGCCGCTGTTGTTTGGCCTGCCAGGGTCGGTATCACCGAGCCGTATAGCAGAGACACTTGCGCTTGGCTGAATATCCGTTAACAACGGTCCCCCCACAGTCCGCTTCAAATTCAAAAAAAGACACCGAGTGACAGGGTCCATAACCGTAGATGCGTCGCGCCTTCTGAACTGATGTCTACGTGTGTCTGTCAGTTCGGCTCAGCTTATCAGCAACAAGCCATGTACCAAGGCTACGTCAGTTCGAACTGTACTTTTCGGTCCCCGTAAAATAGGAGAGCATGTGGGATGTAGCCAAACATTGGAGGTGACGGTATGAGTTATTCGTCCGGTAAACTGTAAGACTACCCATTGAAGGCGATAGCCTTGATACGTGAGCGCCACTGACCGTGATTGAGCCATGTCTGTCAGCGTCACTAACCATTGGTGAGTAGAGTTCCGAGGACTTCATCCAGGAAGGCGGGAGTCGTCGACGCAATTGAGTTTACCTATAAGTGTTTTCGTACTTCGTTGCTAGGTCCAACTCGGTCGCTTTTAGTCAACACAGTACTGGGCGAAAACAGCCCTGCGCGGAAGCCCGTTCCTCTTGTATGCGGAGTACAGGTCCTGACAGCATAACTCATGAGCCGAGTTTCTTTTTCATAGAACACTTGCACTCCTAGGAATCGCCATTGAACCCGACCAGTGCTTCAAAGCAGTGAACCATCAGTGGCAACACTGATGTTGCTGTCTTTGATGATGATGATGATGGTGATGACGATGATGATGATGATGATGATGGTGACGATGATGATGACGATGATGATGGTGGTGATGATGATGGACTGCTCGGATTGTTCACCGACCTTATGAGTATTATCATCACTGAAACACCTTTCTTTCTGACTCTCAGAAGTAAAACGGATTTTGATACCCTATCTCACTGCCGAGGCAAAAGGAATCTCTGAAGGTAGAGGTTTAAGCTAACTCCAGTCACAGGTAAGTATACTTCGTGGAAATGGCTACTCGGACAGACTTCCGAATGTGCGACAAAGCTGGGACCGCTCTTGGTGGGAAAGTAACCTATTTTTATCTGTCTTTTAAAATAAGGACGCTGCCCCTCAGCTCGTTGCCCACACCACACTGCGGCAAACCTTTCCGACCGATTTACTCATGTAACTTACGATAATGTGGGATGAAGTGGCTCAAGTGTTTAGAGCGCTAATTTACTGGCCGGAAGGTCCGTGGTTCGAAGCCGACCTCCGCCTCTCAGTTTCCCCTGTCTAGGCTTGGATAACCTGACAGTATCCCAGCCCTCGTGCTTCCCTCGGGTAGCATGGTAGCTAGGCACCGAAAGGGTGCCGCAGCTGAAAATTTTTTCTACGATTGCATAGCTAACGCCCATTAATTGTCGACCCACACTCAGTGCCTGGCAGTCAGTTTAACCTGCTTATGCACCCCAGATTCTATGGGGTATACGACATGGCGGTTGTGCAGGATAATGAGCCGGCGCAAGCCGTCTTGGATGACAACCAGCTCGTCGAAGTACAATATAGGCGCGGTGGTTGCCCATTTGACGGAAGCAAGTCATGTATTTACTTTTGACAGTGAATTCAGAATACCCTACCAAACGCCTCTATATCCATTCTACCATAGCTGAGGCGATTGAAATTCGATCACGCAATTCGTGTGTATGTAGTCACAAATCTGGTATACACGCTTTGGAAATTATGTATTCTGACTGCATGGCCGTTGGTCATACGTACTAGTCGACTGCAGCCTAAGAAGTTCCCATGGTTTGCTCAAACACTACTCTAACCTTGCTTTGCTTGCCTGTATTATTGAGATTTCATTTTGTGCGCTTGATTTGTATCGAGAAGAAAAGATCCCAATCTTCCCTTTTGCTTCCGTTGCTCATTGTCGCAGGGCCTAGATGACATTACCGGTGAACCACTGGTTCAACGCGAAGATGATCAACCGGAGACCGTGAGAGCACGTTTGGAAACTTACGGCCGCGTAATGAAACCCTTGTTTGATTACTACAAGTATGTGTTAGATGATTTTATTTGCATTCTTGTTAACTTCAGTAGTTTGAAGAGGTCAAACCCGTTACACGGTAGTTATTTTTAGTGACTCACACACCTTAATTCTTAATTGAACCGGCACATCTTGATAGATGATCTCCATCGTTACCAGATTTCAACATGTCAGTCTCGTTAAGCTATCTCAACCTATAATGCGAGATGGACCAAGTGGTTAGAGCGCGAATTTACTGACCGGAAGGTCCGTGGTTCGAACCCGACCTCTACCTCTCGACTTCCCCTGTCTAGGTTTGGGCAACCTGGCATTGTCCCAGCCCTCGTGCCTCCTTCGTGTGGCATGAAAGCTAGGCATCGAAAGGGTGCTACAGCTGAACGGTTTTTTTTATACTGCGAATCGTGCAACCGTTGCGTAGATGCCGTAGTGCCGTCACGAAGAGACTGGACCTTACCGTGGTGTGACGGTTTGCGCATCTCAGGGCTATACTGGGGAGTGTCCCCCGTACCAGAGAGCCTCTCATACCAGGCTGGCCAACGGTTAAAGGTCTGACAATCACATCTCCTGATCGGGGGGGGGGGGTTGGAACTTGTGACGGCTTGTTCCGTAGAAAGGGTAATGCATTTGCATTTCCCACCGAACACCGCCGCCTTGAGGTTAGGCTTTTGAGCCAAAGGCTTTGGTTGAAGACCCTAATCGTCCTCCTGTCAAGGTGTGGGCGCCCTGACAGTATCCCAGCCCACGTACAACCATGACACTTACAACTAACAATACTCTCATGCCAAGTCGGCCGTCGCGTGGTGCCATCAGCTGAGTCGAGTCGCCTTCTGCATACAACAGTGCGGGTAAGCAAAAACAGGCTAGCCCTGACACCTTTCTTTTCCACATACTTTTTCTTCTTCTCCCCACCCCAATAATAAGTCTCTCCTTGTAAGCCCAGCACTTAGGACTGATAACTCCGTTCGTCGTTCGTCGGTTTTGCACGTAACACCTGCTCGTCACATGGCGCCGACATTCTCAGGTATCTCCAAATCAATCTTCGACACCCAGTCCATCAGGCCGCCTTCAATGTCCGCACTCTGAAGCAAGCAGGACAACGAACTGCTCTTGCACTCACACTGGACTCGCTCGGCTTTGATGTGTGCTCGTCTCAGAAACGAGGATTCAAGATGCAAGCACTGTTTGGGCTAACCGCTCCTTCAGTCTCCACTCCCTTTTGGCTGCGCAACTCTGACAATCCAGAGGCTGCAGTGGCGGAATGTACGGAGATTGGTATCGTCTTAAGTCACCGGGCGGAACTGTCCTTGTTTGACTGTATACCTGTTGATAGTCGCATCTGTGCGGATCGTCTGGTTCATCTCACAAGCGGGAAGCTGATCCCTGTCTGTTTGTCGTGTCCGCTTACGCCCCAACTGACTGTAGCTCCGACGCCATCAAAGACAGGTCTTACGACGGCCTGAATGCCCTGCTGCGGCAAGCTAAAAGCTCGGATATCGCTGTGGTTGCCGGAGATAAGAATGCACAAGTGGACAGGCTTAGCGTATCTGAGACTCAGTTAGGAGGTCGATATGGATTGGTCTCGGTACATACGGACAATGGTGGACGATTGCTTCAGCTGCGTGCTGGTCACAGGCCGTTTTTATGCAGTACTAACTTCCGAAATAGCTGAAGTCGTCTGGCCAAATAGTGTCCAACGGCATACCGGCCATAAACTCAAATCGATCACGTTGCCGTTAGCTACCGATGGTGTGGATCACTAAACGGCTGTCGGTCGTTTTGGAACACTTTCATGGATTCCGACCACACGCTCTTCTGGAGTCGCTTCCCCCTTCGTTTTCTTGAGTCGTGTAAGGCCTGGACAAATCGCTTGGCAACTGAGAGACTAGCAGATCCGGATGTTAGACGAACTTACCAGAATCATCTTCTAGTCTCTTCCAAATGCTCCACCATCAGATGTGAACGCATACTGGGACGAGTTGCCACCTCTTTGCATTGTGGCACTTTTCCTGTGGCACTGCACCATAAGGCGCACGCAAGCACCGGATATCAGACCGAACGGTGGCACTGTTTAAATCTCGGGGAAATATCTCAACCGGTCTCGAACATCCTGTACGAAGAATTATCAGACGTCAAGTGAAATCAAGCGTGCGGGCCGACCGTGAAGTTTGGTGGACACAAACAGCCAAATAAATAGAAGAGGTCCAGAAAGTCGGTAATGCCAGAAGAGTATTCCAGTTGATCCGTGCCACCGGCCCCCGGAAACCACCTGTAAGTGAAACCATCAATCATCAGAATAGAACGACCATCTCGAATAAAGAAGAACGCCTCGACTGAATACTTCGGACATTAACTGTCGTGGCCAGCAGCTGGCACTCATCTAGAGCCCACAGTTGAAGTAGAACCCTGGACGGTGAATGTAGAACCACCTACGGCCTCGGAGGTTTACGACTGCATATGTTCTCTCAAGCGCCACCGAGCTCCTGGTCCGGATGACTTCCCACCCGCACTGTTCAAAGACGGGGGTGAAGTCCTCAGTCAGCTCTTGTTCGATCTGCTTGCTTGCATTTGGGAAACGGACCCTGTCCCAGACAAGTGGAGAGCATGGTAACCACGGGGGGTCAGCTTCACCCTGGTCATAACAAGACTGTTGGCGTCAGTTGTGCTTCATCGCCTTACACTGGCTCGTGAGACACTGACTCGAGAGCAACAAGTGGGATTCCGGTCTGGTAAGGGTTGTGTTGACCAAATCTTCACATCCCGTCAGGTGCTAGAACAATGCCGTACGTATAAGCGACCCACAATCCTAGTATTTCTGGATTTTCAAGGCGCATTCGACTCGGTTGATCGGTCTGTTCTTAACACACTTGTCCACCAAAGAAGTTTGTGAGCATAATGCGTTCTTTGTGTTCTCTCCCTCTCTCTTCCTCAACTTCCCCTGTCTAGGCTGGGCTGGCAGTATCCCAGCCTTCGTGTTTCCTTCAGGTGGCATGGCAGCTAGGCACCGGAAGGGTGTTACAGTTAAACGATTATCAGACTTCTGGAGAGCTCTCCAGAAGCTTCCGTACACAAAGCGGTGTCTGTCAGGGATGCCCACTCCATTTTTTAACTTCGTGATTGATGGGATAATGAGACAAACGCTGAGAGGACTCCAAAACCCTGGTGTTCAAATAGCCTGTGAAAAAAACCTTTTCACTCTTGAGTTCGCAGACGGCATCATTGAAGAGGAGAAAAAGGCGCAGGTGTTCTTGGATGAACTAACCTTTGGTATGCACTTTTCACCCACAAAGTGTAACATCATGCTCGTGAACGTGCAGTCACTGTACGCGCCACTTAAAATCCAGGGAGAGGTGTTGGAAGTTGTGAGTCACTGTACCACTTAAAATCCAGGGAGAGGTGTTGGAAGTTGTGGGGCGTTTTACGTATCTTGAAAGTTGTATTAGTTCTGATTGTACTGTGACAGTTGAGGTCGATGCACGAGTCTGCAAGGCCGGGGTCGCGATTGCTAACTTGGGACACCTATGCCCTTTTTTGTGGTTTTTTTCCTGAATCTCAAGGGATGTGTGTATCAAGCTACAGTGTGGGCTTTTGTTGCATGGCTGTGAGACTTGGCCTGCTCGAACTGCGGAACTGAGGCATCTTCAGGTGTTCGACAATCGTTGTCTCAGAACCATAGCTCGTGTGGTTTGGTCTCGGCGTGTCCGTAACGGGGCAACTAGAAAGCGAGTTTTCGGTTGTGCAGCGGGTACTTCCATTGAAGAATCTGTCCAGCACCAGAAGTTGTGTTGGTTGGGACATGTGTGGCGTATGCCGAACCATCATTTGCGTGCCCCACTCAGAGTGGCGTAAGCAGAGAGGTGGCCATTCCTTGACCTGGCAGAGGGGTATGAAGGAGATTACGAAACGTTCGGACGCTGTCGGTGCTGCTCGCCTTCCAGGATGGAGAATGCGTGATCCCCACTGCGCCCTGTTGGAGCTACCATAAGATCTGGCTGCTAACCGATGTCAGTGGCGTTCTTGTTGTCAGTTTCTATCCAGATTGCATGAGTGAATGTCTGGAAGTGTAGGCACTTCTGAATGGTCGCAATAAGGTAGCACTAAGTCTCTTCCTTGTCCACCTTTATTTTTTTCTTTACAACGACGCTTTCAAATGCGGCAGTGAATTATCGGTGTTGAACACTGATGTTATGCTGTCCATGATGATGATGAGGCGCAGATGCCTTATTAGAAATGAGCATGAATGAACCGCGGTCCTGAACGACACTGAAACCTGTATTCTTCAGAGTCGTTTATGGATGCTGTACCAGAATACCCTGCGCTAATCGAGGAACGACTCGTCTCGGAGTCATAGTTCGCACTCCACCGTATCCCTTCAATGTGTCTTCAAAACGACGTCCTTAGTAAGTACTTAAATGTCCCAAAAAATCGTATAAATTCACATGAACAATGAAAGAGCTAAAGGTGCGAATCTTTATATCACTTGTAGACAAAGTCTGATCACCCTTGTGCACACCTCAGATCACAGATGGTGTTCATACACCACGCTAGCTGTTGGAATTTAAATCTCCGCCCATCCTTCATGAGATATGCGAAACTAGTGATTCTTCTCAAGAATGTATATGCATATATTTGTGAGGAACGGTCTGGTGAGCAACGTTTGTACATTAAAGCTAATGCATTAATACTATGAATTCCCCGTATGAAGATCACCCTTGTCGTTCACAAAATCTATAGCTGCAGTAAAGGAAACACCGTCGGAAAGCCAGCACTTTACAAACCGGAGCTGGAACCAGGGACTTTCGTTTGGGTCACAACTTGTGTGCGATTCCATTCATATTATCCCCAGTATTGGCCTTCCGTCCAGTGAGGAGGCTATCTAAAGCTATGTTAATTCAACACAACTGATATAAACGCTTGCAAGTGACAGTTAAACTTATGAGTATGCTGCGGCATCATCAGGCAATATTTTAGTTCAAGGTCCTATTTTGTAACGATCACCAGAGGCTGAAGTCATGGCCATGTGAGTTTAGCTGTTCACTTCTTGTGAGTGCAGTCGTTAAGAGAGGTCATTCTGTTTGTCTGTTGAGGCGTATTTTTGTGGCAAACTTTCTTCCATAAGCAATCACATCAGAAGATATCTCTTCCGGTTGACCTTTCGAAATAGTGCCTCAATAGGGAGGACCAATTCACAGTTGTGTTTCTTCAAAGCGATAGAACTTTGCAGGAAGTGATATCTGGTGGATCTGTTCAAATGGCCTTTGAGAAGAACATAACAACGTTGTTCCCCCTTCAAAGACCACGTGCCGAAACTCACCAAAGGTTATCTCTCCTCTAGAAAGGACCTAGTCATTCGAAAATCTCACAAGCGGAAAACCCTAAGTGACCTCATCTGAAAGGTTGTCTTAATGGAAGGGGAAATTGTAGTATTTGTGTCGTGCAGGTTAAAATCATCATAAGAGATCTCCAATCGATTTGAGGAACGATATTGTCTCCGTTTTGGTGTAAGAGCACAAAAAGCCTCGCACACGAAGTTCGCCTCTGGGCCCTTGAATAGCGCCATGGGAACATTGAAAGTAGTTGGGGACTGGCGAGGAGTTCTCAAAAAGATTCTGATTTCAAAAATAATTTATGGGACAGAACTAGAGTGGTTTCCCTTGGGTGGTGGGTTGAGGTCGATGCACGAGTCTGCAAGGCCGGGGTCGCGATTGCTAACTTGGGACACCTATGCCCTTTTTTGTGGTTTTTTTCCTGAATCTCAAGGGATGTGTGTATCAAGCTACAGTGTGGGCTTTTGTTGCATGGCTGTGAGACTTGGCCTGCTCGAACTGCGGAACTGAGGCATCTTCAGGTGTTCGACAATCGTTGTCTCAGAACCATAGCTCGTGTGGTTTGGTCTCGGCGTGTCCGTAACGGGGCAACTAGAAAGCGAGTTTTCGGTTGTGCAGCGGGTACTTCCATTGAAGAATCTGTCCAGCACCAGAAGTTGTGTTGGTTGGGACATGTGTGGCGTATGCCGAACCATCATTTGCGTGCCCCACTCAGAGTGGCGTAAGCAGAGAGGTGGCCATTCCTTGACCTGGCAGAGGGGTATGAAGGAGATTACGAAACGTTCGGACGCTGTCGGTGCTGCTCGCCTTCCAGGATGGAGAATGCGTGATCCCCACTGCGCCCTGTTGGAGCTACCATAAGATCTGGCTGCTAACCGATGTCAGTGGCGTTCTTGTTGTCAGTTTCTATCCAGATTGCATGAGTGAATGTCTGGAAGTGTAGGCACTTCTGAATGGTCGCAATAAGGTAGCACTAAGTCTCTTCCTTGTCCACCTTTATTTTTTTCTTTACAACGACGCTTTCAAATGCGGCAGTGAATTATCGGTGTTGAACACTGATGTTATGCTGTCCATGATGATGATGAGGCGCAGATGCCTTATTAGAAATGAGCATGAATGAACCGCGGTCCTGAACGACACTGAAACCTGTATTCTTCAGAGTCGTTTATGGATGCTGTACCAGAATACCCTGCGCTAATCGAGGAACGACTCGTCTCGGAGTCATAGTTCGCACTCCACCGTATCCCTTCAATGTGTCTTCAAAACGACGTCCTTAGTAAGTACTTAAATGTCCCAAAAAATCGTATAAATTCACATGAACAATGAAAGAGCTAAAGGTGCGAATCTTTATATCACTTGTAGACAAAGTCTGATCACCCTTGTGCACACCTCAGATCACAGATGGTGTTCATACACCACGCTAGCTGTTGGAATTTAAATCTCCGCCCATCCTTCATGAGATATGCGAAACTAGTGATTCTTCTCAAGAATGTATATGCATATATTTGTGAGGAACGGTCTGGTGAGCAACGTTTGTACATTAAAGCTAATGCATTAATACTATGAATTCCCCGTATGAAGATCACCCTTGTCGTTCACAAAATCTATAGCTGCAGTAAAGGAAACACCGTCGGAAAGCCAGCACTTTACAAACCGGAGCTGGAACCAGGGACTTTCGTTTGGGTCACAACTTGTGTGCGATTCCATTCATATTATCCCCAGTATTGGCCTTCCGTCCAGTGAGGAGGCTATCTAAAGCTATGTTAATTCAACACAACTGATATAAACGCTTGCAAGTGACAGTTAAACTTATGAGTATGCTGCGGCATCATCAGGCAATATTTTAGTTCAAGGTCCTATTTTGTAACGATCACCAGAGGCTGAAGTCATGGCCATGTGAGTTTAGCTGTTCACTTCTTGTGAGTGCAGTCGTTAAGAGAGGTCATTCTGTTTGTCTGTTGAGGCGTATTTTTGTGGCAAACTTTCTTCCATAAGCAATCACATCAGAAGATATCTCTTCCGGTTGACCTTTCGAAATAGTGCCTCAATAGGGAGGACCAATTCACAGTTGTGTTTCTTCAAAGCGATAGAACTTTGCAGGAAGTGATATCTGGTGGATCTGTTCAAATGGCCTTTGAGAAGAACATAACAACGTTGTTCCCCCTTCAAAGACCACGTGCCGAAACTCACCAAAGGTTATCTCTCCTCTAGAAAGGACCTAGTCATTCGAAAATCTCACAAGCGGAAAACCCTAAGTGACCTCATCTGAAAGGTTGTCTTAATGGAAGGGGAAATTGTAGTATTTGTGTCGTGCAGGTTAAAATCATCATAAGAGATCTCCAATCGATTTGAGGAACGATATTGTCTCCGTTTTGGTGTAAGAGCACAAAAAGCCTCGCACACGAAGTTCGCCTCTGGGCCCTTGAATAGCGCCATGGGAACATTGAAAGTAGTTGGGGACTGGCGAGGAGTTCTCAAAAAGATTCTGATTTCAAAAATAATTTATGGGACAGAACTAGAGTGGTTTCCCTTGGGTGGTGGGTCTTTTAGGGGGAACGATTACCGTCTTGGATATTTGTAATGAACTACCAGCTAGTTTAGTTTATCAGAATGGCGGTTTGACTTGTCACGCCCATAACTTCCAGGCGGGTGCTATTGCTTTATTCCACATGACACTCCCCACGTATCTTTGCTTGCTCGAATGAATCTGTGGATCGTAGCTCTCAATTGTATGTGAATACGCTTTTTGTTGCCAGAGGACTTCTGCTGTTACCATAGCACATTTGTCAGTGGGTCTCTTATTGCGTGCAGCCAGGCTTTTAGTTTGTTGATCCGAGTTGATCCTTGACAAGACCCTCATAGTTGCACAGTTTCCCAATATAGTGAGCAGTAGTCAATAATGGCCGACCCGATTCGCAATGAGTTGGCACCACTTTCTCCGATAATGAACAAAGTTTAGAGACCTCCACAAATACACTCATTTGTACACCAGTGTGGTTTCGACGGCAGACTCAGCTGAATCCGTCGTTATGATATTCCTTATGTGGCACATTCAGTTAAAGAATGTCATGAAAAACAGATTCAGCTGAGTCTACCGTTAGAACCGAATCGGTGTGCAAATGAACGTGATTCATCGTCATCACTCATCATGGACAGCATAACATCAATGTTCAACACTGATGCTTCGCTTCTCTACAGCCACAATTTATTTGAAAGCCTTGTGGTGAAGGAAAGAATAAGGGTGAATAGGAAAGGGACTTAGTGTTACCTTACTACAATCATTCAGAGGTGCCTACACTTCCAGACACTCATTCAGGCAATCCGGATAGAAACTGACAACGAGAATGCTACTGACATCGATTGGCAGTCATATCTTGCAGTGTCTCCATCCAGGCGCAATGGGGGTCACGCGGTCCGCATTCTGGAAGGCGAGTAGCACTGATAGCCCCCGGAAGTTTCATGATTTCTTTCGTACCCCTCTGCCAGGTCAAGGGTTGGCCACCTCTCCGCTTCCACCACTCTGAATTGGGCAAGGAAAACAGCAATCTCTTCGATAAACGATGGTTCTACATACGCAATAATTGACCTAACCAACGCAGCTTCTGGTACTGGACACTTCAATGGAGGTTCCTGTTTCACAACCGAAAACTTGTTTTCTAATTACGTGGTTACGGATTCGCTAACACCAAACCACATCAGCTATGGTTTTGAGATAACGATTGTCGAACATCTGAAGACGTCTCAGTTCCGCTATTCGAGCAGGCCAGGTCTCACAGCCATGCAACAAAACAGCTCGCACTGTAGCCTGATACATGTCCCTTTATATTCAGGGCCTTGACGCCATAGATTTCTCAAATTATACACGTGACCCGATCCTTGCATATTCGTGCATTGACCTCATCTGTCATAATACAATCAGAATCAATACAACTTCCAAGGTACTTAAAACGCCTTACAGCTTCGAGTGCCTCCCCCTGGATTTTAGTGACTGCATGTCCAGGATCATGATCTTACACTTTGTGGGTGCAAGGTGCATACCAAACAACCGGATGACTTTGGTTAGTTCACCCAAAAACATCTGCACTTTCTTCTCTTCGAAGTCGAGAACGATGTCATCTGCATGTTCCAAATCGACAAGGTTTTCTTCACAGGCTATTTGAACACCGTGGTTTTTAATGGTCTTCCGGCGTGGGGACTTCACCTTTCTGATGTGCTCCATGAAGTACCCATGGACTGTCGGAGAGAGCAACGTTGTGAGTAGTCTCCTTAAAGTAGTTTTATTGTCTTTACTTTGGCATATCCAAACATACCTACGGATAGGAATTCTGACTCACATTTGATAGGGTGATGTGCTTTTGCAGAAATAGTCTCTATCCCTACATAATGCTATCGGGTTTGTTCAGCAAAGCTACCTTTGGCAATTTCTGGTGGAGTCCTGATGTACTTTGGAATTCCAATGTTACCAACTCTCCGAATCCCTGTTTCAGAATCATTGAACTCGATGTCAGCATCACTCAGAGTAGGAATACATAGTTGAATATTCAAGGTGCAAATTCATTTCCTTTCTTGACATTTAGTATCAGGCAACGCATGTGATCATAGGACGAACTGATGATGTTCTGAAGAGGGCAATCTTCCATCGGAGGGATCGCGCACTAAATCATGCCTTTTATGTAGTGATGTCATGTATTTCCCGAAGGGGTCTGTTGAGTAAACTAAATAATAATAAATGAATAGTCGTTCAGCTGTAACACTCTTTTGGTGCCTAGCTGCCATGCCTCCCGAGGGAAGCACGAGACCTAGGATACTACCAGGTTTTCCAAGCCTAAACAGGGGAAGTCGAGAGGCAGATGTTGCCAAACGAACCGCAGAGGGGACTATCAGCGGGTATTCAATCAAACAGAGACGCTTCCGTTCGGTCGCTCAATACAATACCCACCCCAGCATATTCAGATTCAGCGGTCTCTGCATCACCAGAGGTGCGCAGCCGGCACGTGGAAGAGAACGAGGGGGCAGTCGGTTCGGTCACAGTACTTGCGTCCTGCATCCTTGTTTCTGACAGAACATAGATCAATGTATAGGGAATCCGGCGTACTTGCAAGAGCCACCTGTTGACCCGCTTGCTTCAGTGTGCGAACAATGAAGGCAGCTAAGCAGACAGGCTTTCGGGGTTTGAGAAGTGTGAACTGAACTCGCATGTACAGAAGCTGCAGCTAAGTGTGATCTAGGGCGAGCAAAACGGTCAGTCTTAGTGCTGGGACCTACGGAGAAAGTGTTCGAATTAGGGTGGGGGAAGGGTGGAAGAGAGAATGTGTGAAAATGTAAGGTGGGAGGCGTCAGTAGTAGCATGTTTTCGCTTACCCCCTCTTGTGTGCAGCAAGTAAGGCGACCCGGTTGATGGCACCACGCGACAGCCGCTGTGGCATGAGAGTTTGCTGTAAATGTCACGGTTGAATAGCATTCATGATTACCGTTCTTTGCCCCGTTTAAACAAGATGATTAAATATCTCAACCAAAAACAAGTCGGCAGTTCGATGTTTCCAACTAACCCGTCCGTTTTTGTTTCGGACTGGATTGCCAAGCATACATAATTGTATAACCCATTGACTGTGAGTTGCACGCCAGGCGTATGACAAAATGGTGTCAAAGCTGCAGGTCTATACCTCGGTATACGCTGTTTCGATGCTACCTGTGAATTAGTGACGGCTATATATTGGGCGAGATGGCGCAGTGATTAGAGCGCGAATTTACTGACCGGAAGGTCCGTGGTTCGAATCCTACCTCTGCCTCTCGACTTCCCCTGTCTAGGCTTGGGCAACTTGGAAGTGTCCCAGCCCTTGTGCTCCCCTCTGGTGGCATGGCAGTTAGGCACCGAAAGGGTGCTACAGCTGTTTTTAACGGGTTATGAAGCGACTGCACTCATTGTGTGGATAGATTGTCCGAAGCATGATAAGCAGTTAGGCCCGAAAGGGTGCTACAGCTGTTTTTAACGGGTTATGAAGCGACTGCACTCATTGTGTGGATAGATTGTCCGAAGCATGATAACCTATGTAAAAATGAGCAAATTCAAATGACCGCTGTTTCAATCGTCTGCGAGAGTGTACTGGCATCAGTATTTTGTGTTGAATTGACGGCAAATTGTTGTGAACGGCTGGAGATGCGCTAAACCAACCAGAGTCACTCATCAGCCCGTACGACACTTGTTTTTGCTTTTCCCCCAGGCTACCATTTGTGTAGTCTCCAGTAGCTAATGAAGATCGATGCTCCCATGTGACCGCATGATATACAGTTTACCGAGAATCTATTCATCAGGCACAGAGTTGTGAAAAAGAATGCTACCTGTATGGCGGCACCAGGTTTTCGGTTGCTTTGTCATCTGATGAATTACCGATATTGAGCATATTTTAGCATAACACAACCGAACACGATCACATCATCTGGAGACTTCTTGTCGCTGGTCATCCTCGGCCTTTCATTCATCTTTACTGTACACTGCTTTTTCGTGATAACCGAGTTTCCTTTGTATTCATTGCAACAGAGGTGGCCCTACCATATCCACTGCTTAGGATCTCTCTTGCAGACAGTTAAGGTGCTCCAAGTTCTACCTTTCATGACTGTACCGCAACAAGCCTTATTAGATTCATTTGATTTATTTCTATGCCATTTGTTTTCCACTCCATAGGTCGCGGAATTTACTACACAGTTTCAGGGGTCGCTACTCCAATGAGTTGTGGCCATTGGTTCACAAGGCCTTCTCACAGTATCTGAAGCCACTTCAATACACGGAATACAAGTAGGGACAAACAAACAGTCATCATATGCATCACTTTACCGGTTTTTATCTCGATTGCTCTATCCCTGTTGTTTCTAAACGCATTTAGGCTAACTGTTTCGATTTCGGTTCAGACATGATATTCCTCCTTCCGCACATTCCTGCCCCATAGTGTGACCAGAGATAAAATGACTTGTGCACATTAAAGACTGTGACTGTTTCACAAGCTTTCTTTTGATTTGATTCGATCAATGGTATTAGTAACATTTTATCGGATGATTTAGGACTGGTCAGTCGCCCCTCAAAGAGATATTCTCGCTACGTTCTTTATAGTTCCTCACGGATTTTTATGGTACGTAATAATTCACGGCCACCTGTTTGCTTATGCTTGTTTCGTGGTCTTCGCTAACCATACGATGTCCTTGATTCCCCAACCTATTGGACTTTCCGGGATTTTATACGCACGTGTCTTCCGTTTGTCGGAGAAGTTGTTTTCCATCCCCATCAGACGAGACTAGACCTTACCATGCTGTGGTGTTTTGTGTACCTCCGTGACACACTGAGCTGGGGTTGTCCGTGCGAAACTCGCAGGGCCTCAATCTAGGTTGGTTTATCGTTATAGATGTGACCAATATAGTCTCCTGGTTCAGGGTTCGAACATATATAACGACTAGAAAAATGTAACGCACTGGCGTTTCTCGCCAAACACCACTTCCTTTGGTCGAGGACCTTAGTCGTCCAGATTTGGACATTGTATCAGTATCCCAATCCGCGTACAGCCACGATCCCCACAATTAAAAGTGCTTATACTGCAATGAATCACTGGTGCGCTGATGGTGTTTGATTCTCCAGATTGATGTGGCTCCGACTGATAGAATCGTGATTTCGACAAGTTTATTATGGAGTATCTCAGTCGCTCTATATTCTCAAGTCGAACCTCACTTGATCCTTGTAGGTTGTAGGTGGATTTGGTCCCACTCATTGAATCGTCATTTTTATTTACTAAACATACAGCGTTCAATCTATGCAGCAGGTTAGGTGTTTATCGGTAAAACTTACACAAGGGAATGGAAACACAACTGGACGGGCATAGTTGGGTTGGTTTTGCATTTGGTTGGGAAAAGCTGAGGGAATAAAGGTTGTTTGTCTCTTGTTTTTTTCGGAGATTACTGGCATGGAAAAATGACTGTTTCCTGACCAAACGACTTTCCGGTTAAATCACAGTGGCTTGCAGAAACGTGGGTAACGCCAGCGTTCGCCGCTGAGTTTTGATCTGCAAGTTGGGGTACGAAATCGTTTAGTCGAAAGGTGGTTTGAATTTTGTTATTCAAATTATATTGAGGCTTTCCTCGATCGAATTAGGTCCGCGAGGGTGAGAAGGAGTCGGTGGCTCGAAAACACGCTCTAAGGAACGGGAGAGGGGTGAATGTTCGGCGCCTTATGGTAGCTGGATATCGCTAGCGTCGGCGCTTGGACGGCTTCGAAGAGGATCAGTGTGCCGAAGTCGGTAGGCGTTTAGCTGGCTGATGGGAATAGGTGTTCGGGTCAGTCTTTGTACGTTCTCCGTACTGATGTCGAACCAACGAGATTCCAGCCAAAAGTCAATGTGTCCACGTTTTCTGAAATAAAATATGGGGGAAAATGAGCATTTTTAGCTGTTGCTTCTCGCGCTCAAGTCCTCGACGTTCATGTCGGTAGGTACACTTATTTATTTTGTGGTCGACGGCTAGTTTGTCAAGAAAACTTAAACCGTTGTAACGCTTAAGACCTAGGAGTAAGTCATTTATAAGGCCTATGTTTAGACTTCATCCCGATGTTTCGGTCGTTCTCGTGTGGAACTGAGCAATCTGGTGACGTTTGTGAATCGTTAATCGGCTGGCTGCCGGAAATGAGTTGGAGTCATGAAATTTTCCTACCGAAAAAAGTAACCAGACTGCACTGAAAAACGCCTGTCGTGCGGGCCTTTATTAGACTCTCTTGGTTCTCTCAGTCCGTATTCACTTTACAACATGTCGGTTAGCGCATTCGGTCCCTGAATGCATGACTCATTTAATCCGTGCCAAACCCAGAAACAGCATTTTGCATGCTCAGGTCACACGAAACGTCAAAAGGTCAATCCACACCAAACGCGAAGAAAAGCACACTCCAGAGGATGCATCGTCCTTCGTTCCTAGTCAATAAAAGACGATGTTCTCGCGTATCTAGTTTAGATGTTACTGGGTGTCGAATTCTAGTTTTACTGATAAGTTAAGGGTGCTCGGGAAGAGTTGAATAACCCAGATATTGCCTTAGTATTTTCTGTGTCTAGATACTCGGTAATGAACACTGTCAACCGGACATTTTTGGTCCCAGTGTTCCTTGCCAAATATTTAAAAAAACAGAACCACTGTTTTCAATCCCTCCATTGTATTACGGATTTTATCCCTGCCTTTTCATCTCAGTTCACTTTAGTTGGTACGTTAGTTCCAGCTGCAACAGTTTTGATCATCGGAGGTTGGGAAAGCAGCAGAGATATAGTCAGGTTTTAGAGATGGATCGATCTAACAGCTTGAAGAAGGTGCGCATCTACTCCCGTTTTTTATCCGGGTGGTGTGTGGACGACTCTAACAATCGAATATTTGTTGACCGTGATAAACCAAGGTATTTTATGTTGAATTTTTATTTTTCTGATTTCCTTTCATAGGAAAATTAAGGGCGTGTATAAGTGTAGTATCCGAGCGTTGTGTACAAGTGTCTGGTATGGTCGATCATTTTCTCCTCTAACAGAAATGATAATTTCAACCATAGCGAATATAGCGAGCCTGTTGTGGTTTCCTTCTCGATAAAACAAGTATCGAGTTGAGTGGCGCCCTTTGAAATCGCATATTTCGTTGCTTGCCAGGGGTTGGTGCATGCTTCGTAGGAGACTACGAAACCCCACTCTTGCCTTTACAAAGCGATTTTTCCCTAACCAGCTAAATTGTTGAATGGCATCTTGAAAATCTGCCGTAACTTGCTTTCGGAAACCTCTTAACTAGTTTATCCCAGAGAATTGATTTTCATACATCCTTCGCAACATCAGTTATCAGAGATTTTATATGTAGTACTGATGGCGTGGGAGAAATACCTTGACACCTTGAATATCCATCAAAATGAACCAAAGGTAGCGTTAGGCTGAAGAATACCTCAGGGATTTCTTATTCATACCTCACGTTCATACCAAATGATTTGCAGACGAGTACTGTCACGCTGAGTTACTAAATTAGCCACGGACGTGCTATCGCAACTGGACAAGAAATACTACTGAAGCAATGTTCCAAGACCGTACACAGCCCATATCTCAAACCAATCAGCTAGAGCAGCTTTGTTGAAAGGGACTCTACGCTCTAACACGTACGAAGAAAGTCCATTAACCCCTGCACCCTAGAACACGAATAGCACTGATCAAGAAAGGAATCTTGCGCCTATCGTTTAAGGGCGACCACAATGCTAACCACATCAGATAAACCAAAGTCCGCTCCAAACTACTTTTCTAGCCGTTCGTTGTATCTGGTCTCTGCACCCAGAAGAATTTTTTCAGACGAAATTCAGGGGTATGCACCGCGCAGACCTGTCAATTCGCTCGCGATCGCACCAGAACGGGTAGAACGGATCGGTGCATTTCCCATTGAATTTTCCCAAGAGGTACCAAGACCCATGGAGTTGGCAGGTGACAGCCCACCATCAGTAGTTTCATTGGGGTCATCAATCACGCCATCTCCGAAACAGTCATCATCATCAAAGACAGCAACGTCAGTGTTGACACTGATGCTTCACTGCCGAAACAGGTCACACAATCGACCCTTCTGGAGCTCCCGTGGTTCTGTGCCCAACCTGTTTTGCAACATCTCGATTGCGATTAAGACGACAGCACATTTAGTTGAAGGAAATTGTAAGCGGGGGATTCAACTGAGTTTCCCGTTATTACCCACTTCGTTTGCTGATTAGCGTGTTTAGCAGTCTACGCGCAATTTCCTTCCAATTTGGGCATAAGCTTGACGGAAACTTGAGGAGTGTACTTACTTAATGAGTCCGAAGAAGGGTGAGATCGGCTGTGGGGCTTTCAGCAGCCTAACGAGTAGTGTTCCGTCTAGACAAAACCCGAAGTTGTTTGCTCTGTGAGGCGAACTTAATCACAGCGCAACAACTAACAGTGGCGATCTGCTTACTCTGGAACTACCTTCTGTCACAAGGCCTTGTGTGATCTTCAATATTTAGCGTATGTTACTCCACCTGCTGCCCATGAAGTACTGTTTTACGTTTGCACCTGGTAATAAAACTCACTTTGGTACAGGTTGTAAACAGTTATAGACAAATTTCTTGGCTGGCTTTGAAAACATGTGGAGTTTCTTGAAATCGATGTAGTGTGGCTTGTGTGGGTCACCCTGGTGACCAGTTGGCTTGGGCTTTTCTTCATCTGTTGTCGTCTCAGTCAAAATCTTGTAGGTTGCTTCCGCCAGTTTTGCGTCTGGGCAGTTGCCTGTCATCCTGTTTTGGAAAGAAGATAAACAGCTATCCTCATCATACGTGATAGTTATCGGCAGAATGGCATTGCGCAACAAATTATGGTTCCATACTTACAGTAAGTAGTTGAGCGCACCAATGCTCCACAGGTCCGAGAATACTGATAGGGGCTCTCCTTGGGACACTTCCGGTGCTAAAGAGCGAGGAGAACATCTGTATCAGATTCTGTTATCGACCGTATTCAAAATGAAATGGACACAAATTTACGGCATGATTAGCATAGGATAGATAGTAAACGCTCTATGTTCCTTAACGTTGTTTCTTAGAAAATAATGTTCGTGTGTAACTGCTGTAATCTTGTCGACAGAAATATGAAATGTTCGGTACAGTGGTTCTCAATCTCATTTCTGCCAATTCGGTCGTTTCTTATTTCACTATCCCGGAGTTTCATTTGACAGTTAAAAATGCTCTTGCAGAAGAGTCACGTACCCACATTTATCAAGTGACTGTATCTCATGCTCAGTGGTCCAGGGACGCACTGTTGTTATACTCACGGAACGTGCCATACTATTGCTGATTCTAACCCCTTCCTGTCGATCAAACCATCACTAAATCCACAAATACCGAATGATTAATATTAGACCCGACTGAACCATCTTATTTTAGTTTCGGTAATCAACCAGGTAACTCGTTGGGTACCAACTATTCTCATCCGGCCGGTCTAACCGGCCGAGCACTTCTCTTCAACTGAGAAAGACGCTCAGACAACAAACTGGGCCGATTCCGAAAGCAAGGGGGCAACTCACACTGAGTATTCGCATATTAGCTGAACTGTGTAAGCTGCTGGATAATGTTCGGTTCTGCTGAAAAAAAGAAACATCGTTGGTGCTGCTCCTAGTCGTTCAGCTGTAACACTCTTGCGGTGCCTAGCTGTCATGCCACCCGAGGATTGAGATACTACCATGCGGCTCAAGCCTAGGCAAGAGCGTTCGAATTGCGGGGGTTATTTTACAACAACAGACCTTTCGGTCGATAAGTTCGCGTCCTAACAACTGAATCATAGAGTTGGGTTGATGAAATATGGTACCTCAATAGACTGAGCACTGAAAAACAACATTATTCGAGGGAGATACGGTTACTTAGTTAGTTGCCAGAAGATATTCTATCGATATGACGTATGTAGCTGCCAGTCTGCGTTTGAGTTTCACTCTTGCCATCAAGCTCCATTTGAAAGAAAAACCGACCAGTCTTACTAGTGTTTTCCGTGCGGACGCATTCATGTGCTCTTGCATGATATCGCATGTCGAACATACAGGACAATTGTCAGAGAGAGTACGAGAACACAATCCGATCTCCCTGAATGGTGGTTTGAGGAAACAACTCAAATACGATTGCACCGAAACCGGCCACATCATTGGCGCCTCCTACGAGTGCCACTAAACAGATTTAGGTCGATAGGATTCAGACAATTGTCGATCGCAGAGGCCATCGACATCCGGCAGACCCGCAGATCTGTTCTCAATAGGAACTTACACGACCTTTGAAGTTGATTCGTCCCACGAGCAATTTCCCCTCGCAAACTGGCTCGACACTGATGTAATTCATTTGGCTCCGTGACCCATTGACCTTTGTTTCCCCTTCAATCTTTCTCACCTGCACCTATGATTTCGTCCAGCTATACACGTGACACCTATTGAGTATTACCTAAATTTTAGTGTATTAGCCACGAAGACCAATCACAGAAGACAAGCTTTGCCCGCTACCTCCAGTATCCTCATAGACAGCATAACGTCAGTGTTCAAAACTGGTGCTTCGCTCCCGCTACCTTCTCAACATGAATGAATGGCTTTGCCTAACGAGGTTTAGTGCTTAAGGAAGTTCATGTCTGAAGTTTTAGGCCACTGGCTGCATTAATTTGTCTAGTGGCAGCCGATCATATTTGACTACAGTCGGCCGTTGGGCAGTGCATTTTATGAAGGTCATTGTCAAGGATGATTGAAGGGGCTGGCACGATATAAAGAGAAAAGTCTTCTGCTAGTGTATGCAGTGGTTTTGTTGGCACTCCATTCAACGGTCGATTTCTGCCAGAGCTTGCAAGTGTTAAGAAACTGAAGTTGCGAAATGGATGCTTGAGTTCGTACACATTCGGAGAGAACTGTCATACTGTATATAGATTCCTACTTTATTGGTTCAACGATTTGAGTAGGATACGTTGACTGCGGCGACTCATTTAGCGAAGTCACACGATCTTCGTCTCTAGAGGCCGAGATTTTTGCGTGCAATGAGCTGTTTTGCCGAGGCTTTCACCTTGGTCATTCTCTTACATTTATTCAACAGTTTGATCTTTGTTTCTGCTAAACCTTTTACACTCACTATGTTTGCAGGGTCCTTGATGGACCGATAACATCTCACTGCGAATAATTAATTATTAAACACACTTGTTTACACCGAACTCACCTGTAAACTCCGGTTCCCCATTGATTTCCTCATTACTACCTCCAAATCCTGTAAGAACAATATCTGGTAGTGTAGAACTACGTCTTGCGGCCAAAATGTGTCTCGGAATAATCGCTCCATGGGGTCGTCCAAATAATTTGGAATAGAGCCAACGTAGTGCCATCAGCAGCTGTTGTGTCCATCGCATGATAGAAAATTCAGTATATTCTGTTCGGCTAACCAACACGTCGAATAATTGACCTCCGGGGATCCAGTATGAAACGCTCACCCCAATCGATGGTTTAACAGCATCGTTTGTCAACCAGGCTAATGATGCACCACAGGGCAACAAGTGTCTGGCAGCGGTGAACAAGTATGAGTTATCAATACCACTAAAGTAGTCATCGACAGAGGCAAACATCCCTCCACTGGATGTATTCAGTCCGGTCATAAGGATCGCTTCCTTTCGTGCCCTTTGTTCAGTACATTCATCATCGCCTGAAATTTCAGTGATTCGTAGGAATAGTCTTGGAGGCAGAATCAGCTGGTCTTGCGCAGCTTCTCCTCGATCGGTAAGCATTGGATTGGTTCTGGCGACCAGCATCTTGGAAAACTTACCACTATTCAGGGTAAGCACAAGAGAAATATTGGGGATGAAGGACAGTCAATATGGGGATTGAGTGGTATAAATGAAGGATTGTGTCAAGTGCACTCTCACCATTGCTACCGGCCTCTCTGAGAAAGGTCACCACCACTTGCTTTGGCAAGTAGTGATGTAAGTTCACCGAGGCGCATTCCTAGTGAGTCTAATATATTTCGCGAGGTATGGCCGACCGATTCCGCAAACTTAGCGCGGGAAAACGGGTGCCGATGGCTGTGTGCTTTGGGCAACCGCTCATGCATCGTCTTTTGGTCGTATGAATGCTACGTTTATATGACCAGGAAATCGTGGAAGTGAACCAATAGGCAACATTAAGGCAGCAACTATAGAGCGTTGCTAGGGATTTCGTAACGGTGTCATGTATGCCACTAACTTAACTAATACACTCGAATGCTTTTCAACCGGGAGAACAAATATACAAGCTATTTTCCTAAGTGGAGTTTGCGCCAATTGGGTATGAGGTACTGCAAGGATCGAAGTGTGTTCGAACGACACGACACCTGATTGAGAACTTCAATCAAGGAGACCGTATTCTTTTTCGAAAAAGTTCGGTGACAATCGGTAGATTTATTGCTGCGCAACGTTGCACTTGACACAAAAGCTTCATCAAACCAAGTGACTAAGTCCCGAGGTTGGGCATTCCCTTTACCTCCAAGGGGAAAGGGGTCTTCAACCACCGACAGCACCTGCTCAAACTGCTCGAAGAAGTGACGCGTGCCCCTTTGAAGCCGCATCAAAGAATGGATATCACGAGGAACTACCTGATACCAAAGCTGACATATTCGATGGTGCTCGGCCAAGTCCACAGGAACACGCTAAAAAGATTGGACAACTACATCAGGCAATATATTCGTGGCTGGCTACGTCTACCGAAGGACACCCCAATCAGCTACATCCAACGCCGGTAACAACATGGGGGACTTGGTATCCCAAGTCTGAGTACAACAATCCCGATGCAGCGGAAAACGCCTATGGAAAAGCTCCTTTCCTATCAGTGCCGAGTACTACGCAATGTGGTCAACGATTCCGCATTCGGCAAAATTGTTCGGGATCTCAGCCTTCCGATCCGAGTCCATGGAGCATGCGTAAACACCAAGGAGGAGTTGGTGGCTGCTTGGGGTGAAAGTCTGCACAACAGCGCTGACGGTCGCGGTTTACGAGAGTTGGTCACTTCGTTTCTCTCGAATCGATGGCTCGTATTCCCAGAACGAGTGTTTCCACGGATATTTATCCGGCGTATCCAGCTCCGATGCAACCTGCTTAGGAATTAGAAGCGCTCGGTATGGTCATGGTGGCCAGACGATCTTATGTCGTGGAAACTGTGGCCAACCGGAGAGTTCGGTGCATATTTTGCAATCCTGCTGGATCAC